TCAAATTGCAGTGGTGGCATGTGTAACTAGGATCAAGTGATTAGGGAGAGAATACGAGACAAGAGTAGAAAAGTAGTACTTATAGACACAACGGGCGTCGATGTATGGAAACAACATCCCTCGAGTCATTATAGAATTCGTATGATAGGCACAGATAGGGATTTAATATGACTCGGTTGGGATCTAGGGGAGAGCCACGCCGAACGGTTGGGCACGGGCGGCCGGCGGTCAGGTTGAGACGGCAGTGTAGTGAAGAAATGGCATGATCGGTAGGACGCATATTGCTTCTCATGTACGAAGAATTCTGCGATGTGCGTGCAAAGCCTCAGAAACCAGTATTCTCATGACAGGACGGCCTAACATTATCTATTCCCAAGAACATTTGTTTCCAGATCGATCGGAGTACTGAGAGATAGTAACTGCGTCCGTGATGAAGATACTATTTGTGCCTGATTTCTACATGATACTCCGTATATGCCATATGAAGGTGAAAGTTCGTCTCCAAATCAAGCATTCTTTGAAGATTCAGCATGCATCCGCGGCCCGCCACAAACCAGGCCAAACCAAAGTTATAAAGAACCAATATCTTTATTTGCAAACAGTCGTCACGGAAGATCCAGGACACTTTTCCTGCCTCACCGGCACTGACTCTGTTCGCCGCATCTCCCCGCCACGCCGCATCCCCGCCGGTGACTTCCAAAGCCCAACATCACAGCTATTCTATATACATCACCGTATTCCACAGTTCTAGAGCTCTACGGAACTGTGCGGCGTCATCCGGAATCCTGGCCGTGACTCGCCTGTCATGCCTATAAATACTGCTCTCTCCTTCTCTGAAATTTCCTCTCCACACACATAACGAATATGACCACTCGTCAATACCACAATTTGAAAATGCTTTTTTGCGGCCCTCTGGCCTCCTCCTCCTCTGCCGACCTTCCCCCCCGCTTTCGCCCCACCCCCCCGGCATCACTTCTGAAAACCCTTCCGAGGGGGTGGTGGCGGTCCACTACGGGCAGTACGCCGGTAAGCCCCATTTCACTCGTCTTCCCCTCACTCATCTTTCTTTACTGACGATTCCAGACGATTGTCCTCGTGCGCGCTGGGGAGACTGCAGCCAGTGCGTCAAAGTAATTCCCCTAGCTAGCCAGTTTCTTATTTCTTGCGTGCCGCTGTCGACTAACAAGATTAGTCACTGGCTGCAGAATGGGCCACAAAAGGCGTCAGGGTGAATAGTGTCTCCCCGGGATACATGGACATGTCCCGGCCGCGGCTGTATGTCTCCCCGCCATCTCCCCGTCAAACTAATTACAGCAGTAACTGATCATGATATCGATATTCAGCTCCGCCGCCCAACCATCGGCTCGCTCCGTTCGGCTCCTTTGTCGAACAGAGGAAGAGTAATTAATCTCCCTCTCTCCATAAATATCACAAATCACTAACAACGCTGCGAAGCGACGACGAGTCGGATCATTGTGGGGTGGAGGGGGTGTTTTTAGGGGGTGGGGTCCGTGGGGCCCGGGGAGAATAAAAATGTTTTTTCTTATGACTATTTTGACCGAGATTCGTGATGAAAGTGTAGAAAGTGATTTCGTGATGTGATATATTGGGTCCTGGGAACGACCGAAAACTTCATCCCAGGACCTACCCGCGCACCCCATACACCCGCTATTGCAATACACTGGACTCGACATTTATGGATTCTATCTTCATGGGGCCGATTAATTCGACGAACTCAACCACCCATTTCTGTCGAAGTTGAAGGCAAAATGCATGAGTTCAAAGTTGCTCCACTTTCTATCCATCAAAACGTCTATAACCCCCATATGAGTCAAGAAAACCAACCGTCCAATCTACACATTCCACAGCAACGACTACCTTGCTGTTGTGGAAAGCGCTTGATCAAACTCACAAGAAATCTTCTATTTCGCTAATGTTTGTGATTCTCCGACGTTGAAAGGAACATTATATGACTAACACAAGCACAGCAAGATTTTTGCATGCCCGCCTCGGTTCTTTCTTCGACTCTACAAAGTCTCCTTGACTCAGCTGTCAAAACAACAATCGCAGGAGCACTTTACAACCTCACAGATAGTTGCAGCTTCCTTTTTGAAGGCTCGATCTGCTTAACCACAACTTTCCCCCACGCCGCTACAGAATTTTCTACTGAGTTACGGCGGCCGAGCGGGACTTCCAGGAACCATTGAGAGATTTGTAAGAAGAGAGCAGTATGTTTTTAGTTCGTCAATGTCTAAATTAAGGAACTTCGCTGACAGACTGTGTAGTGAAGATGGTGGTACCTCCGAGTCTCGCAACTTTGTGCGTGTGCTCAACTAAGCATCTGAATTCCAAAGAAACCCTATCCAGAATTTTTCAAGAGGCCTCCGGCTATGCTGCACCATGCTCTGTATCCTCCATCTTCTCCACGGAGGGACGGTACACATGCAGACCTTACTACACGTTAATCCCATGATTGACTTAACGATCACCCTCAAGACCGTTATAGGTTCGTCTGCTATCGACAGCTACGGTGTTTACGTTACTAGGAGGAGAATACAAAGCGCAAGTCAGTAAAAGTCAATCGCATTCGTCGGCCATTCACGCATCGTCACGAAAGGTGTTAGGATAGACGAACAAGTTATGTAGTTCAATGCTATTTTTTTCTGTACGGCAAAATATAACGCTTCATCTACATATCCGATCTTGTTCCAAAGTTCTTGTGAAAAACTTCGAAGCTCTTAGGAATCCCAACTATAAGGAATATACGACGATATGATCATAGTTTCCTGATCACAAAATCATTTGGAATTTTCAAGATCATGAGGAGGAGCATTCTACAAGATCAATACCGATGATACTATCATAAAAAACCAAATAATTTACAGTCTCACATAAACCATCCCTTCAATTTCCAAAAACGTAACAAAGCTGTAACTCTACACGTTCTATTTAATTTATTACCCGGTCGCTAACCAAACTCCACACCCTTGCAGCCGGCGGTCCAGGTTCCGCGCCTTCTCCTGCGGCCATGCTCAACCCGCAGAAAAGGACGCCGGTAATCGACAATTCGTATCAATTATCAGGGTCTAGAAACGATTCCGACATCAGCAAGTTAGCAAAACCCCATATCATGACACTTTTCATGGCCACTTCAATTCTATCTCAATTCTATTAATCCACCACGCATATCAATATTCGCACCGCCTCCACCTCTACTCTCTTCCACCCATCAGCTTCAACATCGCACCTGCGACTTCCCTCCAGTGTGTTCTGACCAAGCATACTCAGTGCGGCGCTTGCGCAGCTGCATCATTACACTGCGCGCCACCCGCGCTGCAATGCCATGGAATAGTTGGCGTGGCTCCCGCAAGAGCTATTAATTGTGGTTCTTCTGGTTGAGGCCTATATATCCACGATCAGGTGTGTCGCTGCTTGCGCGCGCTTTTGGTAGTTGGGTAAAGGGCCCGATATAGCCCACTATCAGGTCTGTCGCTGTTTGCGCGGGCTTCTGTTATGAGGGAACATGATTTGGTGTGTGTGTAATAAAATTTTAGATTATCAACTAATCAAGAAACGTCTCCATCTGATTCCCCAGACATGATAAAGAAGTAACAGTGACCTCCTCCCGTGCAACAACACCAAGTCCCGAAATTTCCATATTGAGCAGTGGTAGACGCTAAGCGTCACCCCCACCTCTCTCCTGCCGTACATCACCGTCATTCCGCCGGTTGAATTTGGTGAGACGAAGAGATGACAGTCCTCAGAAGTTGCGCCCCGATGAGCTTGGGCATGCGAGCTGATCCGCCATAATAAGAGTAGACCGGTGGCCATCCAGCGCCCACGAGCGCCGTCGTACATGGCCGCCATTCCGCCTGTATTATTTAGTGAGAGGAAGAGAAGACGGATCTCAGAAACGGCGCGCCGATAAGCTTGATCAAGCGCTAGGATCCACTCGACTATGGGCAAGGGAGCTAGGTCCGCTTCCCCAAGAAGAGCGGACCGGGTGGCCAAATTGGCCACCACCTCGCTCTCTAAAAGCTTCTAGAGAAGAAATTCCTCATAAAATGACCACCAGCGAGTGAGCTTGAGCACGCAAGCCGGGCTCCACCGCACAATGGGCATGCGGGCTGAGGCTGCCCCAAGGTGAGCAGACATGAAGGGCAAACCGTCGCCCCGTCGTACATCGCCGTCATTCCGCCCGTATTATTGGGCGAGAGGAAGCTTCTGGAGAATAGTCCTCGAAATGGCGTGACGATGAGCGTGAGCACGCAAGAGCGCCAGGCTCCGCCGCAAGATGGGCATGCAATTTGAGCCACCCCCGCCCCCGAGGAGTTTGCGCTGTTCCACTTGGGCCGTCGGCCGACGATAAGGACTCTTTGGGTATACTGCTCCCCAGTATTCAGAAGACGTCGCCGGTGCGATGTTGCGACAGGATATTACTGGATGGTGGGAATGGAATGGTGGAGAGTAGGAAAATATTTATAGGCTTGGCGCCAATCGCGATAGATTTAAACGCCATTGTGATAGAAGTAGCCTGGCAGACGCGCGAGCCGCGGACGTTGTATGCTGGTGTATTTAAAGCTGTGCTTTTGGGACATTGGGATGGGAGTGCGTTGAATTGATTTAGCTAGTGCAGGGCAAAAAGTACAAGAAAGTTTATAGCCGCCGGTCAGGCGGCTTCGGGATGTCGCAGATGTCGTTTTTAACATATGCAGTTGCGCTGATCGTTGTGTTCAAGGTTGCAAGTATTGTAAACCATCGATTCAGATAGCATCGTTGTCGATAATAACAATCATCTACGCTCACTCGAACAGCTTCGTCCCGTTCATTAGAGGCTTGATTATCATAAGTCCCCAGTTCAACAACGCCACAGAGCGTTACACCTAGCGTACCAGTATATCTTCTTCGTATCACTCCTCAGCTAAAAACGCGCAAGTATCTCCATACCGTCGACCCCCGAAAAAACACAGTGCTTTGGGCGCGTCACATGATATCAACCTGCGATAATAGCTCAGTTGGGAGAGCGTCAGACTGAAGATCCTGATCAAGGACTGCGGTATATCTGAAGGTCACCCGTTCAATCCGGGTTTGTCGCATTGGACTTGTTCCTCTTTTTGCATGTTTGCACGCTACGTTACTGACTTAGCTGGATGACTAGTTTTTGCTCCAGGGATCCGCTTTCGAAGCTACTCAGTTATCGGGAAGACACAGATATGAATGTGGAGTTGGTTTGAACTGCGTGGATATTGAAACACAGCCTGCGCGCAACACGTCTTCGAGGTTTGATCGTTCATTTTACAGCAGTTTGCAAAACTGTAGTCAGTAGAGAGATTCTGGGGAATACTTCTTTCTGAGAACGCTAGTTGCAAGCCTCATGCACAGGTGTGGGACGGGTGTGGCACGTTCGGGGTCAAATGGGGTTCCCACCTCGAAGAACATGAAAAAGTGCCTGCAAAGAAGCGTTACACACGCATAAAAGAGGCAGAAAATAGGTATCAATCGAGGGTGGGAATGCTGTTGTCCCTAAAAGATGGTGCACCGTGCACAAAAAGTAAAAACTGGCGTCTCCTAGCGTCCTCAGAAAGAAGTATTCCCCAGAATCTCTCTACTGACTACAGTTTTGCAAACTGCTGTAACGATATGAACTGTTACTCCCCGAGATTTACTTTTGTGGATAGCACCTTTGCACTGGTGGTCATTCGGGCTTGTGATCCATACGTCATATTTCACCTATGTTGCATTCCAATCTTATTTTTCGACTGTTTTTCATCATATCATTATCTAGTATCTATTCATGTCGAAAAGTATCGGGATTCGGTTCTCCGTTCTCTACATTTTGAACGTACCTTTTTCTCCAACGATACGTGGACACCCTAGTTAGTTGTCTTACATTCCGTAGAGTTTGTTTGGCTGCCAAGTGCGCCCACAAAAATCCGAGAATTTGAAATGTGGGTCTACATGATGTGCAGTTTCTGTTCGGTTTCTATCGGATTTTGGTAGGCGCACATTGCTGCCAACCGAGCCTTGAACTTACAATTTGCGTCATAAATTCTCCAGGCATCACAACAACATTTGCCAGATCTCAAAATCATGCTTTATTTTGAAAGCAAGCAGGTCGTTCATTGACTTATGTCACCAACTAGCCTCGGAGTTTGCATGTGGGGACTAGTGATACCATAGAAACATAATTATCACGATGAGAGGGCACAGTTGACAATCATTCATTCATTTTTTTATTCATTCAAACACAAAAGAAATTCCCAGCGTATCCCATTAGGGACTATTGCAACCCTTTTTTACTACTTTGTGTAAGTGTAAGAATGAGTACAAAAGAACGCTATCTAAGCAGCAACACCAACAGCAGTGTTAGGACCACAACGTCTGCATCCACCCTTGCTCTTAATCTCCTCCTGGTGAGCAACCATGCGTTTCTGGTCGCCAGTGGGGTCAGCACTCTCGCCCTCTAGCTCCCATCCGAGGTACTCGTTGGTGTAGTTGGGCTCGTAGTCGGCAGGCAGAACTTCCAGACGCTTTCCGTAGTTGGTGACCTTGGTCCAGTCACGGCGGACGTTCTGCAAATCACGGGAGAAGTATGCGAATGAACGCTCAAAGATTTTGCGGTTGATCTCCGTGCCGATAGTGGGCTTGTAGTCGGCGTATTCGGCGTAGGCTGCCTCAGGCTCGGCAAGGACGTAGTCGGTGGCACGCTTGCAGGCCCGGAGGAAAGCACGAACCTTCTCTGGGTTTGCAGCAAGGAAGGCATCATTGGCAATGTAGAGAATGCTGCAGAAGCAGCAGCAGCCAAGCTCGGCAAGTTCGTCGATGCGGAGCATTTGGACATCCTCGGTGGGGCGTCCCTGGGAAGCAAGCCAAGCCTCAAGCTCAACCATCTGGACGTTCTCAAGACCAATGCCAGCATCAATCTCGCCCTTGATGATAGCCTTGGAGACGTTCATGCCGCAGCGGACAGCAGTGTAGTCACTGGGCTTCATGCCGTAGTGGCGGGTAAGCTCATCAATTTGAATCTAATTTTCTAAGTTAGGCTATGATCAAGCAAAGGAGAGAGATAAATACCTTTCCAAATTCACCAACGTATCCAATCCGCTTACCAATCAACGACTTGAAATCGGTGGTGATACCGGAGGATTTAAGGTAAACGACACCAGTGAAAGGCTCGTCAAGGAGAGAGCCAATGGAGGTGACGGGAAAGCCACGAGCCTTAGCAGCTAGGGTGTGGATCATGGCCTTGAAGCCCATGTCGACCTTGCCAGAACCAATGATCTCGGTAACGTCTGTTCAAACAATTATAATTTGTTTCTTCATAACAAAAAATGAATTAGACTTACCACTGGGGTCGTTGGGCTCCAAAAGAGCAACCTTGATGCCCTCTGCCTCGAAGAAACCCTTCTTCTGAGCCAGGTAGACCGGGGCATGGTAAGGGGTGGCATGCCAGTTGAGCAGGAAGGTGATCTTGTCGGTAGACATTATGAAGTTATCTGCTATATACGTGTAAGTAATTCCAAGATCACGGATCAAATTAGGAATGGGGCTGTAGCGGTGATAATAGAAGCATCTTCCTTTCGCTAGAATTGTCTAGATCAAGTTCAAGCGGTATAATCTCAGAACGAATTCCATCCCCGAAAGGAGTAAAAAACGAACACCCGCGTCTGCTTCTATACCACATCGCAAATTGCAATAGGCTACCTGTTTGAATGCTTTTTTCTTGATTGTAAGACTTTTCTCACGGTGGATGGGATGCATCCCATAATCTCACTAACAGCCAATAGCCGTACATTGTTTCTTCTAGCTTCAATTGTTTGGTTAGTATTTGGTTTTGAAACGTATAGGAGAAAATGAGATGTGTTACGGTAATAGTTTATGCTTTTGAGATATGAATGGTGATGATGAGGAAAAGTGGGCAAGATGAGGGGCAGAGGATGGGCTAATTTATAAATGACAGGAACGGCACGGAATACCCCGCAAATTAGCTCCTGGGGGCTTAGCTTGAGAATCATGATCCCGGATAGCATGATGCCATTTTGCACTGATCGACAGGATTCAAGCTAGATGCAGCTAATTGAAGATTCTTCGGGCTTCGAAGGCAGGAGGCGACGGCACATTTCGCTTTTGTCATCCATGGAAAAGGACCGAGAGCCGATCCCTTGGGTCACACACTTGAAAGGCGAGCAATACAACTATAACTCTTCGGAGTAAGATTGAATTCATTTCTATGCAAACAATGGGAATTGTGGAGAACAGATGTATAAGACTGATATAAAACAAAGCCCGGGCGAGCAGCATAACCACACACTAACAAACATATAAGTACTCTATAACCATTCAAACACTACCTGAACATCGCTTGGTATCACTCAAACCAAATAAAGTACATCTCTTAATCATCCTTTCGAACCCTGACCTCATCAGGCGCAGCATCCATTTTGCGCATTTCATAGGCTTCCTTCCGCTGCAGAGATCCATCTGGACCTGGGTCCTCACCGAAGCTTGGCGCTCCCTCGATTTTCTCAATCACAATCGTCGGTGCTCTCCTGCGGCCCATTGGGCGTTCGGAGGGTCCATCGACGGAGGGAACTGTCAATGTTGGGGGATTTGATTCTGCTGATTGCATGGCTTTGACGCGAGCAAGAATGTCGGGGTAGTACTTCTCTCCCACATCTGGATGTGACTGCATTCTTATCAATTATAGGTTCAAATCCACGAAGTGAGGCTTGTATACTTTAACACGGTTCGTAAGAGTTGCATCCCCAAGACGAGTAAACATATCTTTTCGGAATGTCATCTCAACATCATTTCCGATAACCTGTTTCTTAAGTTTTCGAACTTCCTCAGGAATCTCCATACTCTCAAATTTGGCATCATAGCTGACGCCTTGGAAAAAAGGTATTGAGTACCGCGGGCCTTCTCCAGACGAGGGTGAGATGACCCGGTGTGTTGTCGATGCAACGACGCCCCCGGTGATGGCCTCCAAGCCTTGTCCCATTGCTACAACTAATGTACCAGGTATCGGTGGGCAATTTACCCAGGTCCCTACTGAATTCTGAACTTGAAGACTGTTATGTGGTGGGACTTGTAGCAGGTATGAGCTGAGCATTGAATCTGTAGCTTCCGTCAGTCTTATGTTTAGTCAAATAATGTTCAAAGTGATCCCGCAAGAAAAATTGTGATGGTTTCAGTATCTTTGTAGAATGAAGAGTTCTCACCCTTGTGTGGTCCTACTATGCAAATACGTTAGCAGGCTTTCTTCAGAAATAACTTCGATTCGCACCTCCTTGTGCTCCTTTACCATCTTGACCGAGCTCTCCCATATCCGGGTATTTTATGATTTTAAGCTTGTCTTGTCTCTTTGTTCCGCTCTCACTCTTGCCTATTCCATCGTAGAACTTCACAAAGGCATCCGCTGGAAGACCAATTGCTTCTGCAATCTTCACAACTGTCAGTTATTATTTTTTTCTCCATCGGCACATGGTGATTTACCAACGATGTAAATTCAGTGCTTAGATCTGTCATTAGATCTATGTACTCTTGGTAGGTCTTCTTGAATCCTGGGATAAGCTCTTCCTTCGGCCATTGATTCGGGCCCCTAAGCTTGCGATAGCGGGGTTCATTCTCGTCTGGTGCAGGAAGCTCAGTAGCTAAATCTATCTGCTCGCGCCAGTCGGTCTCATGCTTTGTGCTATACGAACATAAACGTCAGCCGTTTACTCTCGGGAAGATTGAACGTGTATTTGGAATCACATTTCATTGCCGAGTCTTGAGTAACCGAGAAAGTGTGGAGCTGGAAAAATCGTGCACTGTCAGCAATCTCTCAAGAACTCCCTAAGCTATGCAAATCTTCGGACGAAATATGGATAGACTTCGAATTTGGGCAAGGGAAAAGGGTTTATCACACAATTTTTCATCTCTAATCTCAGTTTCTCTTCCTCGGGTAGCTCAAAGAAAAGCTTTCCTAGCCGCATGACTTCCTCGACCAACTTTTCATTGATGCCGGTATTCTTAATATAGAGGAAGCCGACCTCAAGTAGAGCTTTTTTGAGGTCTTCGAGAAACTCGGGCTTAGTCTTAGGGTCTCTTGAAA